CGTGTCTTTTTGCAGTTTTCAAAAAATTAATTAGTCAATCCAAGCCTTGGGGGCCAATTTTTCGTTACCTTTCATGCTTGTATCGTCGTTTTCGCTTGCAATACGTCGACGCTGAGAAAGCCCAGTTGCCCTCGAGGACCAGTTGGCGTGATCTTCTGAGCACTGAACAGTGAGAAAAATTCATGTAAATTAAAAACCAAATCATGTTTTTAATGGCTTATCGTTATAAGAAGTAAATTAATATATCTAAGAAAAAATTCATGACGGAGTGTTCGAAAAATTATTATTTTATTTTTAGGGGCTCGGAAATGCCATTTCCCACGTATGCTTTCCGGTGAGCAGTTTCAATTTCATTAACTAGAACATGGAAAAACGTGTTATTTATGAGTATTTAGTAACTTATGTTGTTTAGATGAGAGCCTTAAATTGGGATAATTGAGGGGATAACATTTGAAGAGTATCGGAAATGACTGCGGGATTGTGTTCTATTTCGCACAGTGCATTAGTACAAGCAAATCAGAAGGAACACTGACCATTACAAAGACTAAGATGATTAAAATGATTTCTCCTGAACAGTTGAGCAATAATGGCAAAAATAAAGTTATCAAATAAACCGCATAGCATGGTAATATTTTGAATGCAGTTAAGAACAACTTATCGACTCACTAATATAATTTCTCAAGCTGTTCCTGCGAGAGAAAGTTGTGTTGCTTAGATAAATAGCAGAAAGAAGGTAACTTGCGTTGTTTAGATAGGAGCCTTTGGGGGAGTTGAAAGAGTGGAAGAGTTTCAGAGAATATCCTGGAAATGACGGGACTTTGCTTTATTTAGCACAGTGCATCAGTAAAAGCAAATAACAAGGACGGCATCACTGTTAAAGCAAACAAGTCGAATTCACACGATCAGTAAACTAGCCAAGCTGGCATCACTGGTCCTCTTCATAGAGGAAGACTATCTAGATAATCTTTTAAAGTTAAAACTTTGTAAAGTCAGCACCATTTTATGAAGGACGTAAATGAAAAATGGAATCCAATTCACATCATAGGTAAACTAGCAAGCCATCACGGAAACTCTTCTCAAACGAAGGCTATTTAGATAACCTTTTAAAGGATTAACTTATCAGAGACAACACCGTTTGTACAAGATTCATGTAGTTAATTAAAATCGAAAGAGAATCACTACAAAGAAACAATTCTAATTTACGGCATCATCAATAAACTAGCCAAGCCATCGCTGCAACATTTCAAAGACCATAGCATATCTGGATAACCTTTTAAAGGGATAATTTTTCAGAGACAGCACCTTTTTACACCATGCAGGCAGGAAATTAAAATGGAAGGAATATCATTACAAAAAAACAATTCGAATTCACATCATTAGCTATAGTAAACTGGCCAAGCCATCATCACTGGAGCTCATCGCAGACGGAGGCTATCTGGATAACCTCTTAAAGTGGTAACCTTCCAGAGACAGCAAGTTTTCACAACATACGGGTAGTAAAACAAACTATTGTATCCTTTAGGAAGGCCAATCGGGAATATGGACAACCACAATATTAACCCAAACTTGGGCAGGTCACTGCAATTACTACCGATGACTTAACGGACTTTTAAGCTGAACTTACGAGTGGCATATGATATTTAACAATTTTATTCGTAATTATTTTGACAGCTTCACTTAGTGTGTGTCTATTGGCGTGCACAACTGATCGCATAGGTTAATAATGTTCCTCACTATTTCAGTAGAGAAATTCTATTTCCCACACTGGATACTTTTCAAGATCATTTGCAGTTCTCACAAATGACTCTATAGCAAGCTTTAATTAGTTGTCACTTTTGGCAATGAGTAAACGTGTAGTTTACTTTTATGCGTGTTTTCTTCGCAGTATGCGTGTATTTATAATCCTGAAACATCCGTAGAATAGAAATGAAATGAATGAAATGAAAGACTTAGTGTCAAAGAGTATTTAGCTTTAAAAACTAATTGGGGATAACAACTGCAACGTTTGTAAGAAGAAAGGCTTAGGTTAGAGTTTGAAGAAGCGATAACTTAACCTTCTTCATGATCCACCTCTCCCCTATCCTTCCTCTTGCCTATCATTCACCCCCTTGGTAAAACTTTCTTTCTCTCCCCAGTCTTCCACTGCATGAAAAATTCAAGATGGCGGCTAAACTTTTTACGATGTGAGCGCTCGCTGGAAAAAATCTCGCCTGCTCTGCAGGCTAAGTTACCTCGAGTTATACCAGCCTTTATTTTTTCGAGGGAGGGAGGGGGGTTGGGCAATTACTAAAATAACGTGCAAGGGGAGCCATGAGAAAAAAAGCAGGTGCTTTCTACTATCCAGGTCCCGTGTTTGACTTTAATTACACGAGCTATTGCCCACCCAAAAATAATAATAATAATAATAATAATAATAAAATAAATAAATAAATAAATAAAAAGTCGTGCACAACATAAAGGTGAGAAAAAAATTCGTGACCCAGGACATTATATTATATTCCCCTACAAACACATGCTCTAGAATGTTCGGATAGGAACTAAAATGTTCGGATTACAGTTTTTCCTCGTACAGAAAGAAGTTGAGGACATCCTTTCGGGTCCGGATCGTTATCGCTAACAGGTCACTCATCCGAATCCTGGTAATTTATTATCAGTTCATCTTCAAACGGTTTCTTTTTTGCCACCTTAGTAGCTTTTGAGATCATTTTCACTTTAAAGCTGATTTACTGAGTAAAACTGTTTTGATCGAGGTTTCCACTTTGAAATGAAGTGTGATTGCTCCATACTCTCTTTCGACTGCTGCGTTGCACAGCTGTCAATTCTCGTGGCGCTTAACGCCATAAATGCTGACGAGCGTGAGGTATCACCGGGAGCCTGTTTGCAGGCTAGTCGGATTACGGAAAAAGCGTTCATCTCTAATGGTTCATTACTGGCAATCCAGTCATAAAAATGGGCAACGTTCTGTCTCCCACGTTGCAAAATGGACAAATTCCGCAATCGTTACCCAGAGGCTTTGTGTGCTTGATTTGCGTCGTTCGGAAAGGAAGCACTGAGAAGATTTAATGGCAAGGACGGAAATGAATTTGATCGTAAGTAAATTGACTTTCCTTGATAATGAATAATTTGTGAGCCTGGTTCGGTGGGAGAAGGGGTTTTTCATGAATGTGAATTATTGTTAGCAACAGTTAAGCTCTCTTATCTGACTAACTAACATCCCCTCAATTAACTATGCTAACATATTTAACTTAAAAACCTTGAGCTTTCAAAGGCTTTCAAGATCTTCAAACCCAGTTGCCTTGTGGCAGACGTACTTAGATTGAAAAAAGAATCAAACCAAATAAGGACATCTGAAATTCGGGAACGGAGCCACTGATTCAATGACAAGAGCGGAAATACCGAGTCCGTGCGGCAAGACATGTTATTACAACTGTAGGAAACCTGGCGTGCATGTTTTGAATTGAATTCCTTTTGATATTTTGTTCTGTATAATTATACTAAACCAGGCTGGGAAAATAACTAAGCAGCGTATAAAAACGTGTCGACAGTAAAACCTCTATTCAGTATAGCCTCGTGCTAATAAACCTTACTTCTCTAATCGTGACTTGCAAGGGGTAAAATGATGCAATTGTATTTTTAAACTCTCAATGTTCAGTGACATGTCTACGTGGTAAAATTAAGTTGTTTACCCGACATATGCTAAACCCTTGCGAATAAAATAAAAGCTAGGATCCCAAAACGCAGGGAATTCATTTCGCAAGGGAACTCAGAAAATAAAATTTGGGCCTATGCCGATGAAAATATTTACGGCAATTTAACGGATAAACTAACGGCCGAAACAACCTAATACAAATTTATTTGACGTACTCGTCTGCTTTCCCAGTCTCACGTACTACAAAACAACATTCAATTAGGAGCTTCAATTCTCTGCCGTATTGAAGACGGAAACTGGTTGTTGAAAACCTTTTTCACGCCACAGATGAGATTACAAAAAAACCTATTGCCCTCCAATATTGAGGCAACCAGCCTCATGAATTGGCAATAGCATATAAAGAAGGATTATGAAACTTGATGGCTACTATAGCTACAATGTAGATAAAAGTAGTTGAAATAGCACCTGAATTTTTGCATATCGAAGATTCAGTCCAGCTGCATGGTTTATTCAGTTCGTCTCAATGCTAGAAGTCTATGTGCATTTATAAAGCAATTCAAAGGAAACTGCGAATTTATAGCAAAATAAGTTCAGTCTTTTGTTTCTCAAGTTAGGGCCCATTAACCGATTTATGCGCGCGCTCGCGCGCGTTGCTAAGGAGGTGAAATTTCACTTCCGGTTACTTACGTCAGCCTGAGCGTAGAAAATGAAAATAACTCAATAACTTCCAAATTCGCTCACATTTTAGATGTTTTTCTTTGTGTTTCACAAAATGCAAAGTAAAAAAAGTACAAGCAAAGACGAAGTAAGAGAAAGACAGAAAAACAAGAGCAATAGAAAGAGAAAAACCAACTCAGTGTGGCTTTGTTTGATCTTACCGAAGTGTGCTGGTAGTGTAAATTGCGCACGCGCTGATAGGGTAACTTCCAGTATATATCGGGCGCACTTCCGGTTTCTTGAAATGCTAAAGGAAACGCAGTTTTTCCTTAAATCCAGCCTTTTTTTGACGGATTTCGATGAAAACCAACGTTGGAAACACAGCTATGCATTCTTTCTTCAAAATCATGCTTTTTCCAGAAAATTACCAGCTTTTTAATATTTTGAAATTCTCTCAAAATCTGACCTTTTAGAAATGAAACAAAATTTATGCATAGCGTAATGAGAATTTAAATTAAAATATTAAATCAATGAAAAAAATTCCGATAAAGTAATTTGCCTGGGAGCCTTTGCGTTTTTTCAGTATTAGTCACATGACCATGGACGTGGCCTGATGACGTCATCACTAGTGTTGCTGATCATGATAAAGTTAAAACACATGAAATAACTCTGAAGTAACTAAAAATGACGAGGTTATATGAGAATAAATTTTTCCTAGCAACGGCTCGAAAAGATCGGTTAATGGGCCCTTAACCCATCACTGTATTCTCTGAGGAACTTGTCGTCGTGTTGGCCGCCAGATCCGGTCAGCTTCAGTGTTCTGTGCACTGTACAGAATGCTTCACTTCTGTGAGAAACAATTTAATGATGGGATCAGTTAGGAAAAGTATTGAAGTATATATGTTGTACTTATTCACATGATTTCTGTGGCAAGGTCCGGGGGCAAGGTGAGAAGAAGAAGAAACTGATCAGGGATATGTAGACGGAAATAAAGGTTTTTGAAATAAAAGTACAGCCAAAACAGTCACGAAATAAAATTTGGGTTGTATGAAGCATATGCCTTGCGTGTTCGCCGTTATAAATTTACACATACACTATATCTCACCAGGCTGTGCGGTTAGTGTCTCGGCACTTACTGAAAAGATTCATCCAACGTTTGGGACTGGAGTCAGAATGGAAGGTAGGTTTGTTACTCTTAGAGCTTCTTAGGCGACAACAAGTAGAAATAAATGTCTTCAGGTTTTTAAAACTAGTTCTAAGCTGTTACCTATTATGTTAGTAGTCTCATCGTTTTCGCTTGCAATACGTCGATGCTGAGGAAAAGCAGCTGGCCTTGAAGAGCAGTCGATATCCTCTGAGCACTGAATACCATATTTCACGTTGAGACCTGAGGGGCAAACACATGTAAAGAAAAAGACTGAATAGTGTCTTTCATGATCAGTGACTCAGTTATAGCATAGAAGATAATTTAATAGTTATAAGAAATAATTATAATTAAAAGAAAGTACAGAGTGATCGATTGGCTATCCAATGTCAACGAGCAAAACAAGTCTGACTGCATGCGAGTGTGACATGCAAGTGGCGAGCGGAGAAGCCGCTGGTCGTGTATAGCACGCTTCGCCTATCACGCTCGCCCACCTCTCGCGTGGGTTCAGAGCTCTTCTTTGCGTTGTTTCCCACGGATTTTCGAGCAAAAGAGAGATTTGCTACAAGTCGACCTCATGATGTTTCAGTGTATGAATAAATAAACAAGACGATGGACTTATCTAAAAGTGTATACTTCAACTTAAAACATTTTTTCTGCGATATGAGGGGAACTGAAATTTTGGAAAGGAACCAGCAAATTCAGTGACAAGAGCGGAAATGAATTCGATTGTACGTAGGTAAATTGACTTTCCTTTAAAATGAGTAATTTGTGAGCCTGGTTCTGTGGGAAAAGGGGTTTTCCTGAATGTGAATTTTTGTTAGCAACAGTTAAGCTCTCTTGTCTGACTTGCTAACATCCCCTCAATTAACTATGCTAACATATTTAACTTAAAAACCTTGAGCTTTCAAAGGCTTTCAAGATCTTCAATCCCGGTTGCCTTGTGGCGGACGTACTTAGTTAAACCAATACGTAATAGGATTACATGCTGTCCAATTTGGAAATAATTTGATGAGAAAAATGCCGAAGACTTCCGCCACAAGGTCTACGGCCTCGTCCAATTTGGCAGTCCTCGGAATTTTTCTCATCTAATCGTTTCCAAATTGGACAAGCATGTAGTCCTAATAATAATGTAGTCCTTAATATTATAGCATCCAAAAATAGATGAATAAGGAAAATATCTGACCCTCTAAAGTACAGTAAAATTTGAAATACACATTTCTTTGAATATCTGATGTGTTTATCGCAGATCACACTCACGATCTAAGGAGCTTTGCATAACAGCAAGGCTATCTGGCTCGTATTTATGTCCGTTTTGCTTCCTTATCTCTGCATAAAATCGGCAAAGAACATCGTCAAGCTCATCTTCGGGAATCTCCTCAAGCTTCCTCACTTCGCTTCGATCAGCACGCCACAGGTCAAACACTTTGACCCAGGTTTTTGTGCTTCTTTGAGTGTTCTTGTTCTGATTGTTCTCCCTCATCTCGAGTAAATCAGTAGCATCTATCTCTGGAAACCTAGCTAAAGACTCCATCTGAAAGTTTGAGACTTCCAAAAGGTGGAGACCGAACAAGTCGGGAAATTCCGCCATTATGAAACCATAATAAGACTTAGCGAGCTACAATCGCTAGCTGACGTTTGATGGCAGTGATGATAGCTGCAACCTGATTGGCCAATACTCGGTTCTTTTTTTATCTTGACATTTGATTGGTCGACGGAAAGTATCCAGATTTTTCTCAAATTGGACAGTTTGTTCAAAGCTAAACTAAACGTTCGAACAAAAACTATCCAATTTGTTTTAAATTTAGACAGTTTAGGCAAAAATTAATAAAAAATAGATTTGTCGGCAATATTGGATTTTGATGCAGCTCTATAATATACAAATTAAAGCTGATAAGGACATCTGAAATTCAGGAACGGAACTAGCCACTGATTCAATGACAGGAGCGGAAATACTGAGTCCGTGTGGCAAGACATTACAACCGTTGAAAATCTAGCATGCATGTTTTGAATGGAGTTCCTTTTGATATTTTGTTCTGTATAATTATACTAAACCAGGCTGGCAAAATAACTGAGCAACGTCAAAAACGACTTGTCGACAGCAAAAGCTCTATTCAATTTAGCCTCGTGCTTACAAACCTTACTCCTCGACTCTAAGCGTGACTTGCAAGGGGGAAATGATGCAATCGTACTTTTAAGCTCTCAAAGTTACGTGACTTGTCTAAGTGGTGAAATAAAAGTTGTTTAACCGACATGTGCTAAACCCTTGCGAATTAAAAGCAAGGAGTTGCTAGAAATCCTAGAAATTTCCAGAAAGCTGGGAACTCATTTCGCAAGGGAACTCAGAAAATAAAATTAGATCTATGCCGATGAAAATATTTTGCAATTTAACACAATAACGGCCGAAACAACCAAATACAAATTTATTTGACGTACTGCTTTCCAAGACTCACGTACCACAAAACAACTTCAATTAGGAGCTTGAATTCCCTGTTGATCCCTGTTGTATTGAAGACGGAAACTGGTTGTTAAAGGAGAAGGTCACTCCAAAAACCGTGTATTTTTTTCCATCACCAATAAAAAGTTCACATTGAGTTGAGTTACTTACTGTTGTTTTAGCTTGTGAAGTGAATGCGATCCCAATGAAAAAGAAGTAAAAAGGTCGTTACGGGGAGCCGCCATTTTGAAAGGATCTTGAAGGCCAGGCCGCATATCCTTGACGTCATTCCGTCCGAAAGTGTGTTTGTTCTTTTGAGCTTTAGTATGGCTGCTCTTGAAGCCAGAAGGTGCTAGTGATTCCGCGGGAGATAATAATCAAGTTGAATTGAATGATCGGTTGGAAAATGCTCTGTGGTGTACTTGTGAGAGATGTACAACCATACCGACGCAAAGAGAATGTGTTTATTGCCGAAAACAGCCGGAGTAGGTCACCAAGATGGAAGGTACATTTTGCAGTACATTTATAATGGACGCAGTTAGTGGAAGAGCAGGTTTATTTTTAATTGTAAATTGCTCTCAGAATTGAACTGATGGCTTAAATAAATCCTCAGTTTAGTGCTTTTGATCTGATTTGTCTTCATTTATATGTTACTGGCGGTTCAATGGGGAGGGAGTTCTGGTATCACAGAAACTGACGAGTTTTCAAAGGTGTGTTTAAATCGGGCGGATGCTTTCCACCTCACATGTCTGTGTTTTTACTTATAGGATTTGGATACTTTTTGCTCGTGCTCGTACGTGTTTGCCTAGGTTTCTTTACACTGATGGACTACGTGGACTCTTGTGAAATACGTAATGACTTTACATGTAAGATGTGAAGTGAAATCGACGTCTTTGACGTGAAATGTGAAATTGACGACATTCCTTATCAGTACCTAAGATTTTTTGTGAGAATTGTAATTTGTATTGTTGGAAAGCTAAGGCCCAGTTCAGACGTCGTGCTTCTGCCGTGCCGAACTAAATTGCAATTTGGTTCGACTGTAGCACGGCAGGAAATCAACTCTGATTCAGACGTCGTGCCAGAGTCGAATCAAATCCCTGGGCCAGGGTTTACTGAAGCCTCGTAACAATTCTCCTCCTAACTCCCCGAGGGAACGAAATCTCGCCAAAACACATTGACATATTTTTTGTATTTAGTTTGGCGCGACAGAAGCACGACGTTTGAATCGCTGCCGTGCCAGAGTCGTGTAGCACGGCAGAGCTTGTCGAACTTAATTGCTTGCCGAACTTAATTCAAAAGTTTGATTCAGACGCCGTGCTTCTGCCGTGCTTTTGTCGAACCTAATTCCTGAATTTAGTTCGGCACGGCAGAAGCACGATGTCTGAACTGGGCCTAAGCATATGTAATAAATTTTGGGTAGAATAAAAAAGTATATACAACTTTTACATGTGTAAACCAGCGGAAGGAAAATTGACTCTGCAAGTGTGTTTTTCGTATCGCATGTGTCGTGTTCACTGGCATCGTTACTTGACAAAGCATGCAGTAAGATTACAGCTTCATTTTTTACCGTAGCACTGCTTTCATTAGCAACTGTAATTCCAAAAAATAATGTGAATGAAAAAAAAAAAAAACCGTCCTTAATTAATGATGAATTGTGTTGATAAAATCGAAAGCAAATTGCAACACATTTCAGTCAACATATGATGTACATGCGGATATGGGATTTCGCTATAGCAGGACTTGTTATCGGTAATTGTCGATATATAGATAGGACTGCCGTACAATGAACTACTTCTTCCGATATATTTCAAATCAAATTAAAAGGCCCGGTCCAAACGCGGCTCCACTCATGTGCCGAACCAAACTTGATAAAGTTCGACTTTAGATCGACTTTGGAGCGACGGCTGGTTCAGACGGCGTACTTGCGTCGAACTTTTTTCGGGAAGCCGGTGGTAGCAATTTTCGACGAGAAAATATGCGTTCTGAATTCACGAACTCTGTCCAAATAGAAAAGCTGTGAATAACATTTCGCTGTTATCATGCTGTTATAGCAATATTTAGGGAAGCAAATTCAAACTCAAGGTTCAGTGTTTGCATTTAGACAGGTTTTCTCCCGGTTAAATCGACTTGTTAAAGGGAAATCTAATAAGCTGGACTATTTTCACGAAGAAAAAGCAAAAAATGAATTTGCGCTAAAGAAACTCGCTTATACAGTCCCGTTTACGTTTCTCATAAATCGAAGGCATCCTGGTATTTTGTTGTCTTTATGTTTAATTTTACCGACGACTTGGAGCTTCATGGATGACTGGTCACGCCACTCAATTTTGAGCCAATCACGAGTCCCGTTATATGAAAAATACATTACAGTAATTTATGCATTAGGTTCGACACATGAGCAGAACGGTGTCGACAGAACCTGGATCGGACCGGATCGGATCACGGATCGGATCACGGATCNCTCAAACTTGTTTAATAAAATGGTGCGTCAAATGACGATTTTAACGGAATTTGGTAATTTGCATATTTCTTTGAAATAAAAGGATGTTTTGCCAAAAAACGTATCCAGTAGTTTTTGTCATGCCCTAGCCTATCTACCATAAAAATATGAGCGAAATCGAATTTTCGACCCTTCCCGAGTTATTTCCCATTTTTATGGACAGGGACTCTTAAAAACGTTTTACACGCCACAGATGAGTTTACAAAAATATTATGTTGCCCACCAATATCGACTTTTATACCCATCATATTAAACCAATTAATTAAATTCTGTCAGAACTTGTTTGAACAGTGGCATTCCATTAAAAGG